CTTGTCTCCTCTGACGTCTGCCTGGAGTTTAACGTCTCTAGCGATACCACGCTAACCACTCGAGCCAAACTCAGGGCTGGATTTCTGCTACAGGGTTTCCATCAAGGGATCTCAGCATTGCTTTAGCATTCAGCAGGAACAACACAACAAACACTCACTTACTGGCTTACAACCACAGCGCATACGAAGACCACATTTCTGACTTAAAACTGGGGACAGCGGTCAGTATATCACTGAAATTTCCAGTGTTTTTATCTACTAAATTAAATTATACAGGGACAGTGCAGGTTTCATCCATTTTGACCATTATAAATGTGATCAACTATGGTATATCATACTCCGTCATACTACTTTAAATTACACTGTGCCCCTAAGAAAAAACTTTAAAGGCTCAAAACAAAGTTCAGTTTGTCACAATACAACAAATGCACACGCAGGCACTGAAAAACTGAATAAAGAATTAAACAACATTAGACACACTTTCTGATAAACTTACAACACTTTTTAATAGCTCTTATTAGCCATAAACAGAAATTACATAGTTTAGCAACATTAAAATACGACTATGAAATATTATCAAACATTAGTGACGCTCATTAACATCTAAACTAATATTCTTATATACATTTTATAAATGTCTGTAATACTAAGTGTCATCAATATTACTAAACGAAGAGCACATAAACTACTTCACATTGATAGCTGGGGTCTTTATACTGTAATTTACAACTAACCCTGTTGAAAAAACCAGCATATGCTGGTTAGGTATGTTTTGACGCTGGGATGCTGGTTTAAACTGGTCCTTTGCTGGTTTAAGCTGGTCCTTTGCTGGTTTAAGCTGGTCCTTTGCTGGTTTAAGCTGGTCCTTTGCCACTTAAACCAGCATCCCAGCGTCAAAACATATCTAACCAGCATATGCTGTTTTTTTCAACAGGGTGGGCTTTGCTCATGAATATTAAACATGTTATGTGAAGCTTGTCCAGCCTTATGGTACATTATATTTCATAAATGTTCAGTTATTCATAAATATTCATTCACCACACCATGTCTGCATGATTCAATTAATATAGTCACACATTATACACTCATTTTATATCATGCTATAGCCATGCTCCTTAGAAGGGTTCATGGCGCAGGGCGCTAAAAACAGCGATGAATTTTCCCGCGCTTTTTATTTTTACCTGTATGGAAATGACTATAACGCAGCGAATCGCTGTGTGAAATGTAATTTGCGTACACAGTTAGATATATTTGTGAGTTTATATGCGTGTTTGTATGTGCTTTACTTTGAAGATGATAATAATACGGTGGTGGTCGTTCATTCTGGTCCAATTTTCAATGACAAAACTAACGTGAGAAACTGAGTAGTAAAGACGATAACACGGCTTGAAGCTGCTATAGCGAGCAGCGCCCTCTGTTGGTCAAAACAAACACCTGTAGACTGTATTATACATATACATACTATATTGTGTATTATTTCACTTTGCGGGCTGTTTTGAAGTTACCGTAAAACTCGGGAACGTCCACCAAAAACCTTAGTCCTTAGTCACGTTAGACGCCATATTGAATTTAATGCGGATGAAAACGCGGCTGTAAGGGATAGACTTACAATCTTTACAATGACATGCACTGTTTAAAAGTTCTAGATCATGTAATTTTCACAACTTCAAATTTTCATCTATCAAAATAGTTTTTTGGCTACAGATTTTTTTTTTGGAAAGACGCTTCATGAGCATTTATTACCACGGATTTATTATAATAAATGTGAAGTAACTGTTTTTTTGGCAAACTGATTACCATTATTATATAACCACAGTTTCACTACAAATACCACGGTCAAACTATAGTTAGTGTAGCAAAACCATGGTTAATTCGTGCCATTGTTTAACTATAGTATCCATGTTTTTTGGTTTTATTTGTAGTAAAACCATGGTTCATTTTTGTAAGGGTTGGTATGTTGATAAACAACAGTACAATCCATTGATCACACTGTACTTCTATCCTGATGCCATACCAATTACGCCGAACACCCTAGTAAATGCGTAGCATGGTGCCAAAAAACACAGAAATGCCCTAGTGGCTTGTAGTATTTATTGAAATATAAGTGGCATTCTTTCTACTTTTTCTTTAGATATATTAATATAAATGCATCATAGTAGCAACATCTGCATGAACAAATACCACACTGGAGTCTAAAAAAATGAAAATCCAGTTTGTGTTATTGAAGTCACAGACATTATCTTTATTCATACATGTAAACACCCACGTTTCTCTCTCTTAAGAGAGCCGTTCACTCACAGCAGGCCTAAACAGTATTCTTCCAGTGACCTGTAATTATTTGATAGATTTTTAGAGCTAACTGCTATTTAGTAAGGTTGTAAGTGCTTCCTAAACAATCAGACATAATATGGGACTAATTTAAAGAGTAAGGCAGGCAGTTTTGGCAGCAGCGGAGGGGCTGGTTTGAATCAGTGGAGGCCCCTCGCTCCAGCTCTGGTTTTAAACTGTTCTTCGTGTTTGTGGAAGTGCGGCTGGCAGTCGACTGCGAGGCCTGCGAGGCAGCGCTGTTTAATTGGGCTTTGTTGTGGAAAGAAATGGGGGTGCACGGTTCACTGTGGTTACATCTGTATAACGGTGGCGACCGGAGCGAAGAGACTCACACATGTATGCATGCACACAAAAACACGCACGACACAGGACGTCTAGTCATAAATGGTCACTAATGAAGCTATGCAGTCAGGTGAATTTATTGAATATTTATTGAATACGCACAGAGCGTGATTCAGTGTTACAACAGGATGATGCGATTGCTTTGTGCGAGCGGATTTTAGCAGCGTATAATTATCACATTTACAAAACAGAGTTTCTGAATAATAAGATGTTGGATTTGCACATGTGACTGTTTGGCCTGCAACTCTCTCATGTCCTGCGGTGACATGCTGTACTCCATTTAAAACGAGCATTTTTATAATTATTGTAAAATTATTATGCAGGCAGTTTTATGAGCTCATTCTGAATATGAAGTATTTGTACTGTTTGTACTTCTCAAGATACTATAGACCTTGTTACTGTTGCCTTTGGCCTGCTTTGGGTTTAAAACACTTGATATTGAGTGACATTATTGCTTTGACTGCACTGAAACTATTGGATGAGAACAAAACTTTGAGCTTGATCTGAATTGAGCTGAAAAATGATACTATTGTCTTGTCTAATGCTTGATGAAGTTTGCATCTTTGATTCTGTTAATTCTTGTAATTTACTTTGAGCTGTTTTAAAACGATCTGTATTATATTAAGTGCTATTAAATGTGACTTGGAATAGAAAACTGTTTGGAAACAATCAATATACTTTATATAAAAAAAGATAAAGATTATTTAAAAAAAAAAAAGGATTTTCTTACTATTTTCATCTTGTTTTGTTTGTTTTTGCTTAAAACAGGAAAAAAAAAAATCTGCCAATGGGATCAGAAAAGTAATCTTAATTCAAAGGGAAAACAAGATTATTTTTCTTGTCCCATTGGCTGATATTTATTCTTGTTTTAAGCAAAAACTCACTGAATTGTGATACTTTTTTACTTAATATCTTACATAATTATGCCTCTTAAGTAAATATATCTTGATTTAAGAATGTTTTAGATATTTTCACTGGAAAACAAGACAAAAATACTAAGAAAATCATTTTTGCAGTTTTTATTTTTATTTTAAATATCATAAATTACTTTTAAATTACTTGGTTAAGAAAACATTGTCAAAACATTAAATGTAAATGATACAATAACTGTAATTATCAAGAAATGGACCATAAAAAGTGGGAACAGACAAGCAAGAGACCATAATGTCCTGCATTTCATCATCATGCATTAGAGAGATTCCACCCCCCTTCCCTATATATCGCTCCTACTTTTCATCCCACATCTTTTCCACACACACACACACACACACACACACACACACACACACACACACACACACAATTCCAAACAAGTCAGTGTAAGACATGCACTACACTTATGCACACAAGCACATGCTCACAGCTACTTGATGCATGTCTTTTATGCAATGCACTGCAAGAAAATGTATTCTCATAATCATTTTGTAGTAAAAATATCCTTCAAAAAAGATGCATTTACTTTAGAATCAATTATTACAATGCATTTAAACTTGTTTTTGTAGAATACTTGTTCATTTAAGTTAATTTTTATCCCATGTATGATATATGTGCAATGCAATGCAATGTCAAGATGTTCTCTCAAAACAAATCTTCATATTTTACACAATTGTGCTTCTCAAGTAATGTCTTTTCTTCACTTATCCACTCTCATCAGTGGTTTCTCTCTCTCTTCTTGCCATGTCTCGTCACACTCCCGCAAAACCACAGCTCTCTTCAGAGTCTTTTCCAAACTAGCCTGGCGTCTGTCTCCCCCTTACTAACACCCCTCTGTGTGTGTGTGTGTGTGTGTGTGCTTGTTACTTTTTTTATGGAGTAATGCAATATTGTAAAATGCATTACTTTTAAAAGTAACTTTCCCCAACACTGATTATAAAATACACTGTAAAAAAAAATCTGTGACATTTACGGTAAAATACCGGCAGCTGTGGTTGCCAGAACTTCACCGTAAAAAATATGGTAGCAACATTTTAGGTTTTACAGATTTAACTTAAATTCACAATAAAATACCGTATTTCATTAACTGATGTAATGTTAATAAACCAACATATTGAAGTACTAACATCTGTTTTGAACCATTGTAATGCACTGATAACCACCAAAAACTGGTGGTGATGAGAAAGTCACACGATGAACCAAAGCTCATCACAAACAGCTTTTCTACGAGCTGAGGAGGACCATACTTATATATAGAAGGTGCACACAGTGTGTATGGTTTAGAAATAATGCAATAAACATTAATTTAACAACATTAGATGTAAGATTAAACCCTAATGTGCACAACTGATAAGAAAAAACTATTTTTTACAGTGTACATAATCTAGGTCAATTTAAAGGAGGTTTAGTGTTATTATAAAGGCATTTAGCTTATACCTGACATAAGATGAAGATAAATGATATATTATACCCTCATAGGACTGAATAATATTCATGCTTAAGAGACAAAAATGACGATGTGTGTGTTATTTTGCATTATTCCAATAACAGGTGTTACGGATCAAATTTTTCACACATTATTGACTCCCACAAGCCTAGATGGCGTAACTAACCAATGATGCACAGGCCTTCTTGTGCCCTGGTAATGCCCACGTTCACTTGGTGTGGGTCCATGATGAATCCAAGTCGGTTTATAATCCAGGATTTGGTTGGTTGTGCTTCTATATCAGGTTTGGGACAAGAGCGCACAGTTGACATGATGACATATTTCCATTCACTTCCTGTGGCCAAACAAACAAAGGAGAAAAGATCAGAAATAATTAATTCAGAAACAATGTCTACATGCCTTTGTCAAATCATACAATCATAAACACAACTTAAGTATGAATGCCTTGTATTTGTGCCTTAAAAACCATTTAAACGATAAAAATTCCTTTTTAAAAGAGAGCTAAATAATGGTTGATTGTAATGTCCTGTCATGGGTCAAGGTTCAGTGTTAAAAGTTTTAGTAAGATTTAAACAAGGTCATGCTTATTGATGTTTAGTGTGCCACTATTGTAAAATGGCATGTTAAAATTGTCATTACCTTGACTTTTCATGATGGTGTTGATTGTGATGTCTCTTATACCCTTATCAATCAGGGACTCCCTAATGTTTGACACTTGAGCATTATATGGCGTGAGAATGGCGATGTCCTTTGTCTTTATTCCAGCCTCAGTCAAAAGAATGGCGATACGCACCTGTTGGAAGATCATCACAATTTGAAATAAACTGATATATAATTTTATAATATATCCTTAGGTGGCATTCTGAATTTAGAACAATAAATTGTTTGTGGCAAAAATGGGCGGGGCTTCGACATTTAAATAATTTCTTTATTTATATATTTTATTTTCTGTACCTAAGACTTTGATGCATCTTCATTAGCTATTACTAACTCGCGTTGTTATGAAAATATACATAGTGGAGTAGCCTCTGAGACAGAAAGTAGTAGAAGCGGTATGTTAAATATAGAAAAAATAGTTCTACAGTCGGGTCAGTGGATGTTTAAGGCTTAGCCCAGATCTCCACGTATATGGAGCCATTCTTTGATTAAATATCAGAGTATTATACTGTATGCTGCGCTATGTAGAAGTTCAGATATCTTAGTTTTATAATCTTAGATAATAGTTCCTTCTCTTACTTTATAAACAAACAAACAAACATAAACTACTGTACAAGCAGCAACCTTCAAAATGAAACAACCCGCAAATGAATTCTCTTGTGTGTAACTTAAAAGGCTATAAAGTTTAATTTAAAGTATAGCCCCAAATCCTTTTTTAATCTACTAAATTACACTTCTCTTACCGCTTCTTCTGCCTCCTCCAAATTTGCTTTTGAATTTTCATTTCCCCGTTCAGTCGAGACCACCAGACTTTTCTCCTTTCCTTCAACATGGCCGAAAACTATGCATGTTTGCCTTGACTTAGTAAGGAAGAGCCTTGGTTTGGGGGATGTTTCAGTTTTTAACTTTCCGTCATAAAACTCCTTAGATGGAAATTCACAAATGTCTTCTTGCTGTAAGAGACAAGATGTGCAATGGAGAAATTTTAATTTGAATTAAGTGAGACTACTGCTTTTTAATTGTTTAGAAAAAAAAATACTATTCATGAATAAAAACTATAACGGAACAGAAGTTTATCTTTCGAAAGCAAACAACAGCATCAGACAGAAATGTTTTATTATACAGTATTAGAGCTATTTATTTTATTATTTAAATAGCTATTTAATTTATTACCATTCTGTACTGAGTGTCAAGCATGAGTGCTTTCTCCATGTAACGTTCGAAAAGAGATTTGCTCATTCCCAATCGCTCCACCACATCACAGTGGACTACAGGTTGCAGCTGCTTATGATCGCCCAGAAGAACAATCTACATGAAATTAGTAGGATATTAAGAACCTAAAAGATCTTTATTCAATGCAAACATAATGAAATGAAAATGCTAATATCCAAATCAGTGTTTGTCTAAAAAGAACATTGCTTTGGAGCCATACCTGCTCAGGCTTGTGAGCCACTAGTGGAATAAAGGCTTCAGGTTCAGTTGCCATGGCACATTCATCGATGATGATCTGTTTGAAGTCGAGGACTTTAGCTAAGGTAGGGTGTGAGGCTGCTGTGCAAGTGCACAAGATGACATCATGCTGCAATAATTCATGTTTTCGAGCCTTTTGGAGGGTGTCTTTGTAGCTTTAAAAAAATTTTTTTTACATTAAATTAGCTTTTAATTTCTATGAAATTGTGTCCAAACAATTTCTAACAAACAAGAAACAATAACACAGAATCAAAAAGAGATTTTTAGTTACTGAGCCATACATACAGTTTTTTTTCTTCGCCAGTAAATTGATCTCCTCTTCTAATTTTCATATCAAAAGCTAATATTTGTGTGGAATATGGGTTGCCATCCTTTCGAATCAGGTGGTGTAGTGCAATGGAACTAATAATACAACAACAACACACATCTGTTAGTGGAAAGCCAGGTTTAGATGTACAGTGCTGTGAAAAGGTTTTTGCCCCCTTCCTGTTTTTTTTTTTTTTTGCATATTTGTCACACTTAAAAGATTCAGATCATCAAAAACACATGCATTTTACATTGGCAGTTAGTATCTACACTCAGATAAGTGACAGATGGACAGTATTTGGCAAATACCTGAGCTCTGTGTTGGGTTTTTCGCCTCTTTTAGAATTGCGTGACAGCTTCAGATTGCATCCTGGGTAAGGAAATTCCAACATCTCCGTCTGATCACTGTAGACTCTGAGAGGTCTAAGTTGATTTTGAAGTTTTAGGAGATGACCTGCAACACATTCATATAGACAGTTTACGTTGCAGTAATCCTTGTTCAGGTAATAAATTGTGCAACTCCTTCTTCACTAGAGGGACCGAACTGACAAAATGGATAATAATTGGCTGTACAGAAAATTTACCTGCAACAACATCAACAGATTTATTTGAGGGGCCACAGTACAGAACAGCTCCCTTCTTCTGTGAATTGGTGGCAGGATGCTGTTGGGTATTCTTGAGCAACCAGTACACAATATGGACACCAACAACAGTTTTTCCAGTCCCTGTGAAAATACACAACAATAATACAATAGGGAAGGAATGGCAATTACAATAGCCTAGGGCCAAAGAAAGTCAGAAAATATTTCTCACCTGGTGGTCCTTGGATAAGAGTGAATGGGTTGGTCAGTGCTTCTCTTATAGCTTTGCACTGACTGTTGTTTAGATGGGAAAACCCAGAAGGGAGATAATTTTCAATCTCAAATCTGGCTGTCGTCTGCCTTGAAATGTTGCATCCTTTGAGGAAATACAGTGTTAAATAAAGTAAAACTGCATTTGAAGAGATAATTAAAAAAAAAGATGGCTAGTAAATCATTAGTTTTGATAGCAGAGCTTGACATATAGATATGCAAAACATTATAATGAGGCAGTAAAAGTCAAACTGTTGTACCTCCTTCAGAGTTGATTTTCCTGCCCATGGCGATATTTTTTACGAGTTTGTTGGCTTTGGTTAGACTGCTAATTGCGTCCTCTTTGCGCCTGCAGATAAAATAAAAAAAGCATAACAATTAATGAAGCATACATATATTGTTTGAAGATGTGATCATAATCTAAGGATACACATAAAACTATACAGTTTTTAATAAGCTATAGTGTCTATCATTTGTAGTCTTACACATCTGGCAGAAGCTTTGGAATCAGCTCCAGAGTAAATCTTGTCCTCTCGCAGAATATGGCTTCTGGAATATTTGTCATAGGCATGTGGTTAATCTGAAAATCAATTTGTAAATTCTTTGGTTCTTTGGAGTCAGTTTCTTCAACTTCTGTAATTATGGCATGGGCCACCCAAGTGATAGAAGGAATATCCATGAGAGCTGTGCACTGAGAGTTTTCCAGAAAGGGACTACTCTGACTTTGGTGAATCTTAGTTCGAATGCAGAGGAAACTGTTCCTAAGGTCACATTCAACAGACCACTGAGATTTTTTGTCAAGCGGAAGGAGAAAAAAACCCTCATGCGTCTTTTGAGGAGAGGTTTTCCATTTCAAGACTGCATCTTCAATAATAATACTCTCATTTTCAGACACAGCATTGGAGGCTGACTCCATTTCACTCAAAGGTTTCCATATTGCCTGATAATCCATGTACGAGTTGTATGTATTCCTTGATGAGTGGAATGCATATTTTGAAAAACTCTTGATTGGATCTTTCACATGCTGCAAACAAATCTCAAATTTTGGATGCACAACAAACAGCTGAATTGCTGGTGTCATTAATCCTCGAGCAGTGGCTGTACCTAGCTGCACCTCGACTGCCTCACCTTGCTTTATTCTCAGCGACAGTTCGGCATAATGCTCAGCATGCATGGGATCAAATTTTTCTGAACTTTTAGCATTTCTCAGTCTTTCCTGGAATTGTCTTGCATGGACTCTTGAGCTGATGTCAAGCTTCTCAATCAGGGGAAACAATATGTCCCAATTTTCCTCTCTAAGAGCAGCTGCTAGGCATTTCCAGGTCTTTGTAGAGACATAGGCCATGACTGAGTTTGGATTTTGTTGTTTCACTTCAGCAAGGATGTGAGGATTGGAAAATGAATATATCCTTCGCACCCATTTCAAGATCATGCAGTTGTTTGCTTCATCAAACTCTGGTTGATCTGCCAACTGAAGATCCCTGTACATAATGTCTAAGTTTTCTGATATAGAGGTTCTGTTAAGTGGGAAGGATAATCTGAAGTTTGTCCCTGACGGATTGAGTTCCACAATGTATGCCACCTTCTTTTCGCTTTGGGTTGAGAGTTTTAATGCAAAATGTAGAGCATTCGCTTTCCTCTCATATGCTGACTGTTGGTCATTTTTCCTGGAAAATTCCATACAAGACAGGTCAATGTCATGAGCTGTGTACCTAACATTGGTCTTGTCAATCACAGAATGAAGAAGGCGCTGCACAATAACATCTATATATCGGCGGACTGGAGATGAGGCCCAAGTATAGCTGTCAAGGTCTAAATCATAGTGCCCAATTCTTGAGACATGTGTCGAGTTTGATCGCAGAATACATGCCTTGTGACACAGTCTCCTAAATGCAGTAGCAAAAGGAAGAAGTTGGGGGTGAATCTCATCAGTTGCAATGAAGTCAATTATTTTGTAGATATTTTTCTGCTCTGCTGCTGTCTTCAAGCATCTCAAAACAGATTTTAATATGGGGATGGTTTCAGAATCAGAAATCTCAGCCTGAGGGTTTGGCATGGCTGTGTGGTGGATCAAGCCTTGGTTATTCAGTTCATGAGACACGTATACACTCTCAGGAGCTCTACTTGAGAAGCGAACAGACAGTGGAATCAAGGAAGCATTTTTGTCAAAAAGGTCAATAAGCTTTTCCCTTTTTGGCCTGTCCTGGCATCTCAGTGGAGTTAAGCTCCTTGTTGTTTCATCAGACAGAAGGCGTTCAGCAACTGTGTGGTTAAACATGATCATCAGCTCTTCCACCATTAGGTGAGATCGCCTTCTTCCAAGAGTCACGTCCTCGTCTGGCATTTTGTAGCACCAGTCTTCCTGTTTTCTGTATTTCCTGTGAACCTCAGCAAAGTTCCATGCTTTCAAAAGGCACATTTCAAGCAGGTCATAATGCTGACGATTGTTTTCAAGGATATCCTCAGCTTCATCATATGAAAATTTCCTCTTGGAGTGAATGACAGACTTGCAAACTAATCTTTTCTTTATGCAGTTTGTCTTAGTATCCACTTGTATTATCAAGGAGATTGCTCGTCTGTCATGGTTAGGAATCAAACTGAAGAAATTGGCACTCAGTTCTTTAGGGAACATGTTTATTGGCTCCTTTCCACATGGATAGAATGAAGTACACAGCAGTTTTGCATATTTGTCCAGTTCACTGCCTTTAGCCAGAAAGCTAGCAACGTCAGAAATGTGAACTCCTATTTCATAGCACTCACCTAAATCCATTACACTGATTGCATCATCAAGGTCTTGTGAATCGGCAGGATCAATGGTGAATGTTGGGAGCATGCGAAAATCTCTTCGCCCGTCTTCAAATAAATTAAGACTTTGAAAGTCTTGCATCTGTGTTTCTAAAGATGAAGAAAGTGTCCTTCTCAACTGAAACTCTATGTTGAGTACATTCAATCCATCATCCAAACTTGTTATTTCTGGAAACAGCCCCACAGCAATGCCCAAGGGATAATGGCAAAACTTCCTCCACTTAAGGACTTTGACAACAAAGAGATATTTTCTGTGTCTCTCCTCATTTATTTTGATAAATTTCTCTATTTTGAGGTTCTTAGGATTTCTTACAGCAATGTGGTTTGGTTTGTCTTTCCAGAAGGGTGTGTAGATTTTGGAGATGCATTTGTTGATAGGCGTCATCACTTGACTGTCATGTCTTTCAAGGGTGCAGACAAATTCTTTGACAGTATCCGCACTTTCCAGGATGTTGATTACTTTCCCCGTAGGAGGATTTGATATCTCACTCAGGATCTCCACTGTTACCTTGTCTCCAGGGAATGCCTGTCCAATGTTTTTTCTGCCCTTGATCTCGATTCTTATGGAGGGCTCGTCAAGTGGTTTAGCATAAGCTCGATCAAAATAATCCATGACCAGCTCACAGTGTTTATGTGTTGTAGAGTTAGTAAACAATTGCTCTTCATCTACTTCTGCAATTTGATTGCTAACACTACTGATAAATTGCTCATGTTGAAAAACTGGAAACAAGCCTTCCTCTGTCAATGCAACGTTGATGTCTTTGCTCTCATCAAGAAGCTCTTGAAGTATTGGGTCTTCTAGGTCTGATATTTCAGATGTAGTTGATTCACTATCGCTGCTCTCTTCATCCTCACTTCTGCAGAGCTCAGATATCTCAAGGAGATCTTGTTTCAAAGAATCCAAGGTAACGTTATGGGCACTTCCCTTGTTGATGCAATCCTCTATGTACGATCTCCATAGTCTCCAGCATGTACCGAACTGATGGCAAGAAAGTGCAGCTGCATCTCCAACAACAAATATTTGAGATTGGGCTCTTGTCATAACTGTGTTCAGCACTCGCATGTCATTGAAAAACTCAAGACAGGTCCGGTCCGTCTCCAATAAACTGTCCTTGGTGTGCACAGTGGAAATCACTATTACTCTGAACTGTTTTCCTGAAAAATATGAGGAAAGGCAGTATGCTCTGTAAATCACATGCATCAATACTAGTGTGTTTGGCATAATATTACATTTGAGTAATGCATCATTTTTACCTTGCACATTTTCTGCATTCTCCACAGTGAAACGGGGCAGTCTAAGCTGACGCAGTCTTTGCCTTATTTCCAACACCTGAAACACAAAAGATGCAAAAGCATCTGGTATAAACACACTGACATGAATTTGATACAATAACAGGATGCCATTAATAAAATCATAATATAAATCGGTAAATATCTATAGGTTTGATACCTGTCTGCCTTGAGATAGGACACAGACTGATTCTGGATCTTTATCACCCCACTCTTGTGGCCATTCCTCCATTATTCCTTGCACAATGTCAACGACACTTAGAATTTGTTCTGCATTGAACCAGGACATGCTTGTTGGGTCCAAACAGCATTCTCCTCTTACATGATGGATCTGCAATGCATGTTGGTGTGGATGAGGAGGCACATCCCCTCTAGCCTTGATCACATCACTCTTTCCCACATAAAAATGTGTTGATACAAAATCCACAATGTCCTTTGTGGAACGGTAGTTTTCATTGAAAATGATTCGGCTTTGTTTGGCCATGTCACCGTTTTCAGCTTGGTAGTAATAGAAGAGGCGATTGAGCAGGGTTTGTTCTGAGCATTTGTCTTGTTTCACAGAGAAGAGCTTGGGTCCCATCTGCATGTGATCTCCTGCTAAAACAACACGTGTATTTTTACCTGCTAAGCCCAGTGCCATAAGAGCCTCACACTCCAACATCTGAGAAGCTTCATCGATCAGAATGTGGCTGAAGTAGTTTTCAGGCAGCTTCATGTCATGGAAGAAATGTGCTAGGGAAGTTGTTGTTATGACGATTCTTGCGGAATCTAAAACAGCTTTATCAGGAAACTCAAAATGAGTGCCATCTCTGGATAAATGGCAGTACTGTAGAGTGATGCGATCAGTGGATCTGGGATTGCTTTCCTTTGCCTTGATTCTCAAAGGTTTGGCTTCATGATGAACAGTTGCATAGTCATGAAAATGACCATTTACATAAAGATCAGCAGAACTGTATCAAGAAAAAAAGAGAAACAACTGTAGCTTACAATGACTGCATTAAGCAATTAAATTAGCAGACAAAGTCCAAAATTCCAAAATGACACTGCCTTCAAGGTACGCATTTGATCTGTTTATGCATTCTCTGGTAATCAGTTCCATGATCTTGCCGTTGCTTGCACCATGCTCTACTGTTTGTGCGGGAGGAATGCAATTTAAAAACAAATGTATAAAGGCCATTTCACTGTTGATAGGATCAGCACGTTGTGTTTTGGATGTTGGTGTGCCATTGTCGCCACAAGGCTTTTTAACTGTGCTAGGCCAGAAACAAATGCACTAACCAGCATAGAGATTCATGTTATTCTGAGCTGGAATATATTTTCTGGAATTGCATTTACACAGACAATTTAATGCAGGACATGAATACATTTAACCTGCAGTTACAAATGCATAATTAATGTTTTGATGTAAAACAAAACAAGTTGAATACTGATATTTGAAATGATTTGGGGGGGGGAATGGAAAATATACTTTAAATATAAAACCTAAAATAATTTGTTCAATCGGCTTATTGATTCAGTAACAAAACACCATTGTGTGTCTAAAATGTAAGTCACTTAATGTTAACTTCTTTTTATTGAGCTGTTCATCGAATCAATATCACATTTGCAATTGTGCTGATATTTCGAGAAATACATCACTCTTCGTGTGATATTAACTATATCAGATGAGATAAATATAAAAGACATAAAAGTCATATGGGGGCATTAAATATTTTAATGTATGCATGCACATGTATGCATGCACTCTCTGGGTGTGTTTTTGTTTGGTTTTTGCGATATACTTGATAATGTCAAATCGCATATCAATTAAACAACAATTACGATATTATTGTAGACGACATATATACCGCACACCCCTATTCTGAGCTGGTTGTTTCAGGAGGATGACCTACTTCTGTGGAGCAATACTCTGAAGTGCCAATGAATTGTGATGCCTTACCTGTTTGTGTGTGTGCAAATCAAGATTTTGTTTTGTGGTTGCTGCACAAGAACCTGGGCCATCTTTGCAAGGGTTCGAGTTTTCCCTGTTCCAAAAGGTCCATATATCAACAACGGTGGGATGCTCCTTCTGTTGTCTGTTACACTCATAACAAAGTTCATTGCTGCTTGCTGCTTCTCGTTTAACTGTTCTGTATCTGACTGGGAAGAAATACAGAAGTTGCTGTTTTTCAGATCAGGTAAGACTTTGTCTAAGTTGGGGAGATCATCAATGGCTTTGTGCATTTCGCAGAACCATAGACGATTTAGTTGGAAATGGACTTCCATCTCACACTGCTGTCCTTTTTGCAGATTCAGATCAGTGCAGCATTCTTTGGAAAGCTGCAAAATTGCTTGTGTCTCAGTGGCAGCATCTTTCAGAAATTCGGCCTCATAAGTATGCCCAAGGTAATCATTATTTTTCACAACACGAACAAGAGATCTGATAGCATGTCTTTTCACTATGAAACCTTGAGGAGTATCAGGAGTGAGTGGGTGAGACAGAGGCACAGCAGCAAGAAGAGCCTCGGGATAAGCACATTTCAATCCAAACCTGTCATCAGACAGGTATTTTTCCAACTGCGCTGTCCCTCGTAGATTCAGACTGGAAATATTTTTGGGACAGAGAGAGTACATTAGAATTGTTATAAATTGTCAAGTATTTGGCTTAGACCTAAGAAATATAAATACCTGCTAAGCAGTTCACCTTCTACCTTTTCCTCCTGATATAAAAAATTGTGCATGTTGTGTTTGTAATTCTCACGGTTAATTGGACTGTTCATCTGATCTATCACGATGAGCTGGTATCTGTTTAGCAGCTCTCTCTCTGCCTCTTCTCTTTTAACAAAAGGAATGATTTTCAGGCTTTCCTTATTCCAGGGCTCAAGATTCCTGACAGTCTCTTGTTTTTCTAGTGGAAACTCTGGTTCTGGGCTCTTACATTCATCCTCGCCAACTCTGACCTTGAGTTTCTGACGCAGTATGGGTCTCGTGTTGAAGTCAAACACTACCCATTGCTCATAAAGGCCTGCTTGGTCAGATTTGAAGGACACTGGGATTTCATACTCTGCAGAAACAAATCACAATAACTTAGTTGAAAATAATTAGTGAGCTTGGCAGTTAAATAATTACTGACTTAATACATTTAGTAAAAGCATGCCGAAGGTTTCTTTCTGGGTTTTGTAAGAAATATTAAGTCTTCACCTGTTTGGTTCTTTTTAAACCAATCACTATTGGAATATGACCGTTCCTCATCGGGGTCTTTGCTGAGGCTGAATTTCGCCCCCAGTTCCCGTTTGAGTAAAGCAATCACTTCTAGAGGATCCTGGAAGGTTTTTAGTTAAATTGAAAGTACAGATTAATGCCATTGAAGATGTTGCTATCCTACACTACTAACACATTTACAGCTGTCTAAACATGTTTAGAAATGCACATAGGCATCACACATTTATCCCACCATATAGACAACATATGCACTTTGGTACAAAACATTTGCTAACACTTTTGTGCTTATGTGCTTGTGTGCTTACAACAAGAACTTGTAACCTTTTTCAAGGATGCCTTGAATCTTTTTTTATGTCACTTAGGGACTTAAGGATTTTGACTTCCTCAAGGTTCATTGATCATTTAGCTAAGTACAAAACACTGCTTTGGTATATCAAAATTATGAGTGGAACTAGTGCTTGGCGGTATACCGGTTCATACCGAATACCGGTGTTTATTTTTGTTATGATATGAATTTTTAAAATACCGCAATACCGGTGTATGTTGCTTAAACAACGTTCGGAACGCGACACTGTTTGAAAGGGGCCCCTTTTCACTGTTGCACTGTGGTGAGGGAACAGCTGTATGTGTTACTAAGCGTGAAAGTTCCGAAACTGAAGCTGTAGAACTAATAGAACGTGATGACACAGAAGAACTCATCCACAATATCCACATTGACCGCCACAAATATCTAGCTCTCCCTGCCATCAGCTCCTGCGTCTTTAGCACTAGATTTAGCAACTTTCAGACCCTTTTAGCGGCTTTTTTCCATAGAATGTTCATACTGACAAACCTAGTGACTTTTTTGGATAAACCTTAGCTATGGTTCAGTTGGAAGATTTTGAAAAATACCGTGATATAAATTTTTGGTCATACCGCCAAGCACTAAGTGGAACCCCATTATTCTTGAAACTAATTGTAAGTGTATAGTATCATTAGAATCTGTTCCTACTATACTGTAACTAAAACAACCCTATCAAACAAACGTTCGTATATCTGTTAATGTACAAACCTTAGAAATAATGGTAAAATTCCATGTACATTGTATTCCCTTTTTCCTTACATAGACACTGTCTAAATCTGGGTCACAGGTGATAAAAACATCAGGAAGGGTGTCGCTGACCTGCAGGAATATAGTTATGACGTTGTAAAAAGTAAATATGTACAATAATAATCAAGCTTTGGTTGTAAATATATAAATTAAAAATTAACATGGGCCAATAAAATTAATTTATCATATATAACACATTAATTAAATACAAGAAGCTAAATTAAATGCAAGTAGCAATGCAAAGTGTCAAAGATCAGAGGTACAACTGTCAACATTTGGGATACTGTCCCAGAGCTTTACTCACTGTGCCACGAATGATGTTAAATATTGTTCATTACTTACAATCATTTTCTTGTCGTTGCTGTGTCTGTATTCATCCAAAAGACTGTCCTGATATGACAGTAGGCCCATCTCGTCTACATCCCTGGCTCTTTTCCGTGAAGCCTTGATTCTTTTTTGCCATTCACGAAGTTCCTCTTGACTGTGTGCCTTTGTGCAGTTATCACCATACTCGCATAGCAGGGATCTATGGGAGAACGTTTTATAGGCGTCTTTAACTTACTTTGACACAAGCAAACATCTAATGCCATGTCACACTTCATATAAATACCTTTCACACAATTTCAGGTCCTTGTATGTTGGTGGTGGATCACGGTACTTCCAAGTCTGAGAGGTATCTTCAAAAATCAGTCTCCTGTGCTTCACAGTGAAACAGTGGTTCATCAGATCCTCATCATTTGGGATGTGGACCTGGCACAATGTGCAGTCAAACGGTCCTCGTCTCTCTTGAGACTTTGACTGCGGTGTCCTTTGGTTTTGTTTTATCATTTTCACAAGTGTAGGAATTGTCAGGGTTTTATTCTTCATGATGTTCCACAGTGCTGCTTCTTCCGAGCTCCTAGCATAGGTACATTTCCTTCCATGCTGTGTGCATCCATTTTCTTCAGTGAAGTACCAGCAAACAACATATTTGGAAGGTCTGGGGAAGCCTGGCAGGGGGGCAACGGGCCTCCACAATGAATTGCTACCTTTCTGCTTGACCAGTAAGATGTCTTCTGAGCAGTTATGGATGATCTCCTTATAGGAGTATGAAATCTCATTGAGTTTTTTACAGCACTTATTACATCTGACACACAGCTTGTATGACTCCAATGTTTGAAGATTATGATGATTTCCTGCAAAAGCCATGATTTAAGGGACATGGAATTCCTGCAAATAGAAATAGTTTGCAATTAGAGGTTTTCACTACTTGCATTTACAACTTATTTTTTTGTTATTGTATATATTTTTGTTCCCTTAAGATTTTCCTATTGGTTTTTTATAATGGGGTTTTTCAAAATATGAGCAAAACAAGGTCTGTGATAAATATAAATTGACAATACTTTGACGTTTTGCTCTACAACTTAATGTTTGTACACTGTAAAAAAAAAATCCGTAAAATTTACGGTAAAAAACCGGCAGCTCTGGTTGCCGGAATTTTACCGTAAGCATTTAAGGATATAAACTACAGATTAAAGTAAACACCTATAACGACGATTTCAGATCACCTTCTCTTAAAGGAAGAGTTCACCCAAAATGAGATTATGTAATGATTTCCATGTATGGAATTCTTTCATCTGTGTAACACAAAAGTCAGAATGAGAAGCTTAGACACAGTTCACCTTTGAGTGTACGGACAATAATTAAAGCTGCCAGCTTTTGAATGCCACAGATGATTATGTAATTTTATGATCTTTTTAATAAAGCTTCATTAACTATTTTATACTGAATAATAAGCTGTTCATAAAAGAATCACGTCATGCATATTTGAAGCGTAAATATTTATTCTACCACCTGACCACTCCCTTTCAGTGCCATCTTGAGTAAAGTTATGTAAAGTTTGCACAAACAAAACAGGTTTACATTATGGCTGCATGCCCTGCTGTGCCTTATAGTTCTGCCTCTGACTGCAGGACTCAGGAATGTCATGATTGTGTGTACTTTTAAATGTGTTTTCAGATCCACCTACCGACAAAAACACAGGTAAACAAACAAATGCATAATGTAAAATGGATTCAGTTTGCCACTGATTTTGGCAAACTGCTTCACAACACAATTTTAAGGAGGCTTTTTCAACGGGACATTGGTGGCTGAGGATGACCGAGCATCTATACTCATATTTCCTATGGAATAATACACTGAAGAATCATTCTCAATAGAACCAGGAACTTGTATTTCATGTCAAATTCATGAAAGACAAACCAGACAGACTCACCTTCTCTCTCAGACGCTGCTTGAGAGCACTGAGACGGGCCATGCGATTTTCTTGGATCAGCTCCATCTTGTGGTTGAGCTTCTCCTCGGTCATCTTGCTGTAGTTGTTGTTGACCTCCTGGGCCTTGTTGAGCACCTCCTTCTCACGTTCCCGTTTCTCCGCCAACTGCATCAGCACCTGCTTCTCCTGAGACTACAGAAAGTAGTGCAGAAAGGTGATGACAAGTGTAATGTGAGACTTCTCTGACATTCAATAAGTGCAGAGGAGAGAAGCCAGAAAGTGGGAAAAAGTCTTGGAAACAGACAAGTAAAAAGAGGTGCTATCAGATGGCAATACTATGATAGTAATGGATTACCATATTCATATCCTATGGTATCTACATGCTACATGGTAAAATCTTTTAAAAATAATGGTTCCAAAAGGGAGTTTTCGCAGCGACGCCATTGAAGAACCATTTTTGAACATTTTCAGTGAACAGTTCTTAAAAGGACCACTTTCTCTTAGTGTCAAGAACATTTTTTTAAACTCTAAACTTCTTCCATTACAAAGAACCTTTAGTACAGTGGAAATGGAAGAACCATAAAAGAACCTTTCTGAGAAAAGTTCTTGAAAGAACCATTTTTTTATGTTAGTGAGAAGAACATTTTAATAATCTAAAGAACCTTTTTCCATTATGAAGAACGTTTTGTGCAGTGGAAAGGCTACATGGAAGGAAACATCAATGCCAATAAACAACCTTTCATTTTTAGAGTGTTAAGGTCCCTTGCACACCGAGTCTGAAATTTTCGCACGTAAAAAAAAAAATACAACCTCGCGTAGTGTTAATTTCGTTAATGAAGACTATGACGAAAAATGTTCGTTGACGAGCTTTTCTCCCATGACTAAGACGAGACGACTATAAGGTCAATAAACGATAACTAAGACTATATCAACATGCAATTTTGTTGACGAAATAAGACGAGACTAAAATGTATTTAAAAAGAGAAAAACTTTACCAAAAACTTATTACAAAAGTTTATTGCAGACTGCTCTACATGCCTCTACTACGCGAGCTTTCATGAGTGCAGTTGCCAGATATCAAGAGTTCTAATCCCCGAATCAGAGCTTCGCTGTTAAATTCATACATTTTCTGCCCGTTGTGTTTTGCTTATTTTAAGCAATCTGGCAACCATGCGCATGCACTCGCTCCTCATTGCGGAAGCACCGCCGCAGATGATCTAAAAACACAAACAAACAAGCTGGAGTTTAGTGATCAAAAGGG